AGGAAGTTTCAGGATTAAAAGAATTTTCGCATCATTGATATTGTATCATTTTTGAGAAAAGAACATTGACGGAACATATACAGAATGGTAGGAGATAACAAGGGCATAGGTCCTCTTCAAAAAGTACATAACACCGATAGGGTAGAGGAAGAGGGCATATAAAATGTCCCAGAAAAGTATTGCGACATGACTCTCTATTTCGAAGGGAAAGTAGGTAGGAAGGAATTCGTGATGTGGTCATACCGGAAACCGAAAGAGGATTGCCGCGTAGGGAAGACTGTTGAATTGTGAGAAGTCATCGGCTCGCCGTCCTGCGACCCCGATAATCCTGTGCTAAGTTTTCGTCTGTACATCAGAGCAGGTAGTAAGCCAAGAGGAAAGGTGGCCGGCTGCAATTGTAGTCGCTTTTTTATACATCTAACTTTGTGATCTTAATGAGGCATTCCATTATTTGGTTGGCTACTTCAAACTTACTATACACGCTTGCAAATGAGTGAAGTTAATTTGCCCATACAACTTACCATTAAAGATAAAATATGTATTATATACTGTAAATTTGACTAATCTAATGATTGAATCTTTGTCTAACTTTTACCTATATTCGTACTTTCAGGATAGTGAAACACACTTCCGGTTGGTAAAGTAACTTCATTCATATGCAAGCATGTAGAGTAAGGTTGAAGTAGCCAACCAAATCAAGGGAGGCCTCATTAAGATTGCGATGTTAGGTGTATAAAAAAAGCGACTAGGGTTGAGGCCTGCCACCTTATTCTCTTGGTTCAGTATATTTTTGCTCTATTTCGTAAAGTATGGATTCTTGCTCTGATGATGTCTGTCACAATACGGACGAAAGCTTTGCACAGTTCCATCGGGATCGCAGGACGGTAAACCGAGGACTTCTTCGTACGATTAAATAGTCCTTCCAACACAGCAATCCTCCTTCGATTACCGGTAAGACCACATTACGAATTCATTCCAACTAACTTTCCTTCGAAATAAAGAATCATGCCACAATAAATCACCAAGGAATTCTTCGAAATCCAGATTTTTCTTCCAGAAAAGTATTGCCAATATTTGGGGTAAGACTTGATATAAACTCATACAAAAGGTATCGCCGATTTGATTCACAAAATGTAGCGAGACTAAAGTAATCGGCAAATGATACCCTGAATTCTATGGTAATTACGTTTCGATGCTATCAATAGAACTTAAAAAGGGATTCTGATTATCCTAGGTCGCATAAAGTGATGAGGGACAAATAACTGAATCTTCTCACAATCATGGGTAGGCCTCCCAACCTCACTGAAGTTCACATGGCATAGCCTCCCAAAAGATAGTCCTGTCCAGAGTGGATCGTATTTTAGACATCGTCCGTATCTTATACGGAGCCTAAATGGGGATCAGACCATACTAGCATATATTTACGACGTTACCATTACAATGTAACGCTAAGTGCCAGTAGGTAGGATGACAAACGTGTTAAAAGACAGGTAAGGTGTTTCATATAGCATATTTATAGTGGTATGCTCATGAAATAAACTTTTGTTTTTCCATTACTATAGATTATGTTACTTATATTCACAGTAAGTAGGCTTCAAAACCATTGGTAGATCTTTAATAAGGGTTGTAGCCCATCATGGATAAGAACACCCGTTTGAGATGTAACGCTAATTTAAATGCAATGGTATCATAAGGGCTATTCATATAATTGTGGAAAAACCTAACTATCAATCTATGATCACTTTATGCGACCTATGATGACTAGAACTCTGATACTTTGAAACTTACAGAAAACATTATATAGATAAAAATGAGCATCTGAGACCAAAAATACAGGTACAAAAATGAAATTACATGGATGCACCAACGCTACACTGGTCAATAAGTCACATTAAAATTGATCATAACTGTTATGAAGATAAAAGAGACATTAATGGAAGGAAAAGATAGAGGAGTGCCGAGATGGGCCTGCAATATTCATGGCTGGTCAGTAAAGGGTTTAAAGGTACAAGAAAATCTTTGATTTCCAAAGCTTGCTCATAAACGTCTTATTAGAGAAGCTAATTAAAAGGAAGGAAGGCTGAACCACAGAATCAACACAAAAGCAAGAAGATGAAAATGAGGATAGGATGGACAAAAAATCACCCCTCAGTGCGCTGCAGAAGTGCCAGGCTCGATGCTCGTTTGGGAAGTTCACTGTAATCTGCTTCCAGTCGGCCCATCCACAGTAAATACGAGAAAGTTAAACAGGTTAAGCCCAAATCCGGCGTTAGGGCCGGGCTCCACAAGCGAGCCAGGACATCAAACGACGGCATGGAGGTGCTGGACGCCGCTGGCAATTGGACACCACTCCGGCTAGACTTCCGTTTTGTCAGCCAGCTTAGTGTAGCAGCAGAATCCTGTGTTAGATGCTTTGCAGAAAGACACATTGCCATATGGTCATCATCCGAATTGGAAGCCAAGGATTCTGAAGTTTCAGCAACCTTTAAGCGATTCCACCTATGGCGCCAACTGCTCTGGTCGTTGTTCCAGCCACACTCATCCTCGGAAAATGTGCACATGTGAAATGGTTCTGGATGACTGCCCAGCTCTACATTTCTTTCCGACATGCACATTTGAACTATATTCATTTTTCAGGAATAATTGTGGCAAAAAAAACATGGAGAGCGTGGAGGAAGCGAAAGGAGTGAGACAGAACGAAATACCATGAAGAAATAAAAGAGCTGCAAACGGAGCCGAAACCGTCTCATGAAATATAAGATATGATTGAAAGGAGATGATTAAGAGGCGAAATTCGCTTGAAAAACAAAAAGTCCTGCTTTAGATAGTAAGTAAAACTTTAAAAAAACTAGGATTTTCTAATTGATCTACATACAAAACTAAGATATAAGTAAGATCTGTAATATAAGTATTCTCGAAAGAATAAAAAAGCATCAATAAAACAATCTAAACCCAAAGCTTGACAATCCGGCCGCACCCTTCTTGGCGTTGCATCAAGGAGAGGATAGGAAACTGAGAAGTCAAAGAAGCCCTTGTCAAAAATGGCGTTTTACTTGACGGTCGGCCCATAGATAGCAAGTAGAAGAGACGGATGCATCGCATACCCACAGATGGGGGTATAGGAGGACTCCACACGCGCGATTGCACCACTCCTGACTCTAAACGGGCCGATTCTGTGACCACTTTCTTTCCAAACCAATCGTCAGATCGTCTGCTTTTGTCTCTGTCATCAGAAGATCGTCTGGAGTCCAAGCTGAGACAAAAGGCCATGCCCTCTTCATGTGGAAATTGTTCATTGATCGCCTCGTTCATGTTTGATGATCTGGCGGGATCCGATGAAATTTCAAGTCTAGACCAAGGATACCTCCAGCTATTTGGATCAAGAACCCAGCCACAGGCATCCTCGGCGAAGGAACAGTAGTGCAGAGGTTCTGGACGGAGCTGCCGCCCACCATCTGAATGTCAGGACATGGAAGCAGAGAAAGCAATGTGTCCGGGGGCATTCAGCAGCAGATTGGAGTATGAATGTTTATAGAGACACACAGATGCCAAGGAAGCAGGAGTACAGAAGCCAAGCCGCCGACCCAAGGTAAAAATAACACCAAAAGTACAAGGTCGAAAAGGCCAAAATAATAATATAAAGGGAATTGGTGCATCCAATGTATCCTTTGCTGAGATAAAAGGACTGTCAGGTAAATAAAATCAGGGAAAGTTCCAGGAAGACTTGAATGTTCGATTTATTTAGACTATTTGGTAAAGGCTGTAAGAAAGTGGCAGAGTCATTTCGCAAGACATATAATATCAAGGGAAATCGGTGTAAATAACGAAAACTATAAAGTTAGTACTCAAATTTAAATTAGGCCCTAAAAAGGAGAATATTTCTTTTTAAAAGAGTATTGAAATTAAAGATGAAATTGCAAAAACTACTCTGAAAATACAGGGCTTTGAAGAATTAGGTGTGAAGAAAACAAAAATCAGAATACCTGAAATATATAGACTACATGATCAGTTTAAATCAAAACATAGCTTCGAAGCACAGCCTAACAGGAAATAATACAAAACCTGCATGTGATTATCATGACAGTCAATAATAGTGAAATAAAAAAGAGACCTAGTTTATTCGTTAGTGCTCCTAGATTTCTACTATGCATGAGCCAATCTCAGTCAAAAAACAGTTTTTGGAGATCATGAGAACAAATTAATGCCAAGCAAATTATTGTTAAAAGAGTCAACACAAGAATTCTATTCTTTGATAGACGTATTTAGCGTCCCAGTCATTAGGTATCAACGATGAAATGAATATGTTAAAAGCTTTATTATCCGAGCAAAATGCATCTAAGTTTTCCTATTTTACTTTATCTGATAAATGAAGATGAGGCTTGTCCAAGCCACACCAAATAAAGATGAAGCGAATTCATGAGGGTGGTGGAGAGAGAAATGTCGAAAGATCGAGCGAGTAAAAACACCTAGTTAAATATATGTATCATCTATAGCAATGGAACATTCCTCATTATTCGTCCGAAACAAAATTCAAGTAAATTAATTTATTGTTTCTGTGACTATTTGTTAGTAATTTTTACTTATAAAAATGGTTTAAGTATTTACAGATAAATACTCCTAGACAAGTGCACAATATATGACAGTCATGAATTTAGAAAATGTACTTGAGTGCCAAGTATCAATAGATTCCAATAGCACACAACCACCGCAAGACAATAAAAATCACAAAATAGGCCGTCAACAAAAGCTGTGTTACATGTGGCAAAGTGCAATAAATTTTGTAGTAAAATCAGTAAAGGAAGTAAAGAATATAATTACCTTTATGAATGTGTCTAAAACTGTGGAAATGAAGTAAGAAATATATTAATCGAAGGTATAAAGACCAAGATGGTGTGGCTTTTTGTGTGGTCGCTGTTTCCTTTCGTCGTATAGAAGTTGTCTGACCGTGTTTTCGCAACTTGGTCCTATTGGTAGGAAGACTTAGAGGAACGCACCTAGTCCGGAGTTAATAGTATACATAATAATTTACAGACGAACCGTGGACGTGGTACATTTCCAGACGTTTCGTCAGCATTGTAGTCGGCATCATCAGTAAGCTTTGCCACTCTTAGCGCCACCCTACAACTCGTTAAATAGATAAGTGAATGTGATCTTTTGACCATGTGTCTGCTAAACCGACGTGGTATCTCTTCGTCCTCCATGGGCTAATCCCCAATCTTATATCCTCGTATCACGCCTTTACTGTCACAATTTTTACTTCCTTATTTAAATGTGGTATCGCGTGCCCTTTAGAGCTGCTTTCATGAGAACTTTCAACACTCCATGCAGGCTTTCTCACCCCCCTTCACCCTTGTGCTGTGAATTTTGATCAGAGTCTGCCTTATTGTTACGCCGTCCTCCTTCCATAGGTCTCCCTCTTGCCCCGCAGGATACGTCTGCTGTCTCCCTATCAAGATCAATAAAATCTTAAGTGACATGCTGAAAGATAAGCATAGGAACGGGGAAACTGACGCATGGACAAGAAATTCAATCATAAGAGGAGGCACGACCACCAGCATCCTACGGATTATTAAAGATATGCAAAGGTGAGCTACTAAGGCTGATAGTCGACAACAAGTATGGAGCAACACATCAATTGGCAAAGTTCATATGTTTGAAGCTCAAGAAATAAAATGAGAGGCTATCAAACACAGTGAAACATTAATATGAATTTTCTCAACAAATCAAAAACATGGCGCTGGGAGAAATAGACCTATTGGTAAGTTTTGATGTGGAATTCATGTATACAAATAACTCTGGAGAAAATACGCTAACGGCTCTGCTGGAAATCCTGGAATCACAACGGATCTGGAGTCGTCAACATGACTAATCAACTTGACAGTAAGGACAACCTATCTTACATTCAACGAGAACATATATGAACAAATATTTGGAGTTCCCATGGGATCGCTGGTCTCATCACTTTTGCCAAACGTAAACATGAACAAAATCAAAAAAGAGAACTTCAAGATGGCACCACTACTAACGAAAATGCTAATTCCCTACCTGGCTGATTACTTCGCACTTTGGTCACATGGAAGAAAAAAACTGGAAGATTTTATGAACTTTATAAACCAGATTGATGAAAAAATTAAATTCCCGATGGAGGAAGAGGAAGGTGAGCGGTTACCGTTACTCGATGTCAAAGTTATACGCTCTAATGAAACGCTCAAGGAAAAATTGTTCAGAAAGAAGTCTTATCCCGGGACTATTTAAGGCTAAAGATAGGAATGAGGAGCATGATCAACCAAAGCCTACGCTTAACAGGTGTAGCATTCTGGGACGAGGAATTGGACAAATTGACGAGGATATTCCTCGGCAATGGCTACCCAACTAAAGTAATACAAGGAAGCATACGACTTGTAAAAAGCTGAGGGCAGAACGGTAACTATCAAAGAACAGTACGGACGGAGGATTCACAAAAGTTGATATTCGAACCTTCCTGTGAATAAACTCAAAAACTACGGCCAATATTGAGGAAATGGAATATTCGAGTGGCCATTAAAAAAATCAACGCTTTACACAAGTCTACCGATGCAACAAGAAAGGGTAGACAAATTGGATTGTTAAGGCGTTTACTGTATATCATGTCGCGTATGCAAACAGAAATGTATTGGAAAAAGAAAGGGAAAATTTAGCATACGAATCAGGGAACATCAAAGGCTCTGCATGAAAACGGACACCGAAAGATCAGAATTAATGAAACACATCGCACAGACTGGACGCAAGATTAATTGGAAGGCAGCAGAAATAAGGGCCTCATACGGAGACAACACAAGAAAGTGGAAGATTTGGGAGGCCACTGACATCCTTGGGGAGAAAAACCTAATGGACAGAAGATTGGAGGAATGTAGAATTAGAGATAACTTTGCCTACTGCTTAAGCAAACTCGGGGAAAACAAGAATAGAGCAATATCGGCCTGGATCAGGGATCTATAGTAAACCGGAGGAAAAGGGATCGCGATGAGAAAAGGGAGGGGACGGGCAGTGAAATGCACACTGGGACTGGAATCGAGTGAAATCGATCAACCAGTAAGTAATGAAGGGATCTACGGGACCATAAGGGAGATTGGGATAGCTGACCTGAGTCGGATTAGTCGATCGAAAGAGAAGGGCTCAGGGTGAATAGCAAGTGTGATGAGGCCACACT